GGATTGAGGCCAAACGGGCACTGGGAACACAGCAAAGCTGATCCCAAGGGATGGGAAAAGAGGAAAACCCTTCAGGATCTCGGGATGGAGCTGCAGGTCCCCTCAGCCCCACCAGCTCCATCCAGTTGGGATGGAGGGGACTTTTCCCACAGCGGATTTTGGGATTGAGGCCAAACCAGTGCTGGGAACACAGCAGTGCCCGGAGGACAGCAAGGAGCCTTTCCCTTTATTCCCACTCTGCTTCCCAGGAATGATTAGGCCACGGGTGGGCAAGGAGCTGGGAAGGGGAATGTCCAAGAGAGCTGATGAAAACCAGCACTAAAAACAGAGGGAAGACGTTTGGGAAAAGTGTCATTGCTCAGGGATTTGTTGGGTGGGAGAAGGTGAGTGACTCCTGGGACTTTTTTTCCATCCTCTTTCCTTTGCTGTTAAACCACCTTTCCCTCTCCTTGGCTTTGGGACAAGGGAATTCCAAGCCGGATGTGGCTGAGGTGGAAATCCTGGATGCCTGAAGTGTCCCAGCCCAGCAGGGACGGCTCCACCACGGTGGGAACACGGAGCTCCAGGAAAACTGCGACACTGAGGGACAGGGGATGCGCTGCCATGGATAGGGCTGATCCCAAGGAAAAGGGGAGAACTGGGAAGGGGACAGTCCAAGCAGCCCCCTCAGCAGCAGGATTAAGCTCAGCTCAAGTGCCCCTGGAGTTCCTTGGCATTGACTGAACCCTGAGGTTGGGAAGGATCCGTGGGGATCACCAGGAGCTCAGCACGGTCCTGCTGGGAACAAAGCTCACTGAACACACTTGGAATGAGGGGAAAAGTGGGAAGAGAAGGAAAAGCCAGCTGGAGTGAGGAGCTGGAGGAACCCTCTGGCTGGGCAAGTGTCGGGGCAACACCTCAACTGCTCTGGAGCTCCCTGAGAGAAGGTGACAGAGACACTTGTTGTCCCCTTGGCATCCCCCCTTCCTGGTCTCCTCAGGCTCCCAACGACATCCTGATGGGATCCTGTGGCTTGGGAATCACCCCCCGAGCCATTTTCCAGTGCAGGATCCACTGGGCAAACTGGAAGGCTCTGGGAGCATCCAACACCCTCCCGGCACAGGTGGTGGGATCAGGGAACAAGGGACTCAGGGGAACAGGGAACAAAGGACTCAGGGGAACATGGAACAAACGACTCAGGGGAACAGCCAGGCCTGGAATTTCCACTGGAAAACCTCCACTGGAACAACCAACCAGCAGTTCTGGGGCTCAGCCAGCGGGATGTCAAAGGATGGCACTCAACAGGTCCAGCTGATCCAAGCTGGGAAGAGCCAACAACAGCGATCATCCGGGTCAGCTTTTACTTCCAAAGGCTCATTCCAATGGGAAAAAAAAACCAACCAAAAAAAACCAACCAAAAAAACAAGAGAAAAAGCTGGAAGCATTAAAAAAAAAAAAAACCTACTCTCCAAAACAACCTTGTCATCTGTCCATGATCCGTCCCAGTTCCCAGCGTTTGGGTTCCGATGATTCCCAGGAGCTTGGCCCAGCCAACCCCTCCTATAAAAACACCCCCCTCAGGGGGGAATTCCCCAGACAAAAACACTCCTTGGGCCGTCACTCCTCCTTGGGCCTCCTCCTCCTCCTCCTGCAGCGGGCCAGGAGGGAGCCCAGGCTGTGCCAGACCTCGGCGTAGAGGAGGGTGCCCAGGAAGACGAGGGCGGTGCCCAGCCAGTGCCAGGCCGTGAAGGGGTTGCGGAAGTAGAGGATGGAGAAGATGAGGCTCACGAACTTCCGCAGCGTCACCACCAAGGTCACCGTCAGCGACGGGCACTCCGTGGTCAGGATGAACACCCCCCGGATGCACACGTACCTGGGAGGGCGGCTCAGGGAAAAAAACAGGATGGAGGGAAGGGAGGGAGAGGCGGGAATGGGAGGGAAAGGGGGATGGGGAGCACGGGGAGGGAGGGAGGGAAGTTCCCGCCTGGGGTGGGCTGGGATGGAATGTGATAAATGTGTGGATGCACAAATCCAGGGGGAAACAGGAGGATGCCCCACAAACCCAGGGACACCCCACGGATCCAGGGGAAAACACAAGGATGCCCCACAAACCCAGGGACACCCCAGAAACCAGGGAAAAGCATAAGGACACCCCACAAACCAGGGACAAACCCAAGGACACCCCAAAACCCCAGGGACACTCCGCGAATCCAGGGGAAAACACAAGGATGCCCCACAAACCCAGGGACACCCCACAAACCCAGGGACACCCCACAAACCCAGGGACAAACCCAAGGACACCTCACAAACCCAGGGACAAACCCAGGGACACCCCAGGGACATCCCACAAACCCAGCGACACCCCAAATCTCCCAGACTCCCCCCAGCCCTGCTCTGGAACAGCAAAACAGAATCACAGAATCAATGAGGTTGGAAAAGCCCTCCGAGATCAACCTGTGACCCAACCCCACCCTGTCACCCAGCCCATGGCACTGATGCCACATCCAGTCTGTCCTTAAACACCTCCAGGGATGGTGGTGACTCCACCCCCTCCCTGGGCAGCCCATTCCAATGGCTGAGCACTCTCCATAGAAAACATTCCTTCCTGATGTCCAACCTGACCCTGCCCTGGCACAGCTTGAGGCCAAGCCCTCCTGTCCTACTGCTGGTTCCCTGGAGCAGAGCCCGACCCCCCCCCGGCTCCCCCCTCCTGGCAGGGAGTTGCAGAGAGTGAGGAGGTCTCCCCTGAGCCTCCTCCTCTCCAGGCTGAGCCCCCCCAGCTCCCTCAGCCTCTCCTCCCAGCACTTGGGCTCCAGTCCCTTCCCCAGCCTCGCTGCTCTTCTCTGCCCCTGCTCCAGCCCCTCCAGGGCCTTCCTGAGCTCAGGGCCCAGAGCTGGACACAGCACTCCAGGGGTGGCCTCCCCAGCGCCCAGCCCAGGGGCACAAGCCCTGCCCTGCTCCTGCTGCCACACTCTTCCTCAGCCAGCCCAGCAGCCCTTGGCCCTCTTGCCCCCCTGGCCACACTCGGGCTCCTCTTCAGCTCCCTGCCCAGCCCAACTCCCAGCTCCCTTCCTGCCTGGCTGCTCTCCAGCCCCTCTGGCCCAGCCTGCAGCTGCAGGGGCTTCTTGTGGCCAAAGGGCAGGACCCGGCCCTTGGCCTTGGGGAACCTCATCCCATTGGAAAAAGTGCCCCACTGGAGCAGCTGGAGCCGGTGTTGGGAATGGGGTGACAGTCCCTGCCTCAGAGCCAAGGGAAGCTCAACCCAGATCCTCCACTGATATCCCAAGCCCCCTTTCCCAGAATTCTGTGCTCAGCCATTGGAATGGGCTGCCCAGGGAAGTGGGGGATTCTCCGTCCCTGGAGGTGTTTAAGGACAGACTGGATGTGGCATCAGTGCCATGGGCTGGGTGACAGGGTGGGGTTGGGTCAGGGGTGGGACCTGGTGATCTCAGAGGGCTCTTCCAACCTGTGCCTCTGTAAATCCCATATCCCAGAGGGCTGGAGAACCGATCCCAGGGCAACAACTCCCACCTTAAATCGAGAAACTTCTTCCCTGAGCTGCACAAACATCAGCTCCCGAGTGCAGGGGAGACTCCGGGGATTCCACAGCCCCATCCCACCCCTCCTGTGCCCCCCTGGAGCTGGCAGGGCTGCCAAAGGATACTGAGTGATGACGTTCATGAGGAGGTAGAACCACATGATGGGCAGGGTCAGCCCCAGCACCGGCACCCGGAACGGCTCTGCGGGGACAAGGGATGGAGAAGGTCACTGGGACACCATCCCAGGGATCCTTCCCAGGAATGACCATGACCCAGGACTCACTGCAGCCTCAGGAGGCCGTTCCTGCCTCGGGCACAGTGAGCTCTGGGCACGGCTTGGGTTTTTGGGCAGTTAATTTGTTCACGGTTTGATTTTTGGGGAGTTCTACTGTTTTTCATGGTTTGATTTTTGGGCAGTTCTCTTGGGTTTCAGGGTTTGATTTTTGGGCAGTTCTCTTCTTCATGGTTTGATTTTTGGGCAGTTCTCTTGGGTTTCAGGGTTTGATTTTTGGGCAGTTCTCTTGGTCATGGTTTGATTTTTGGGTTGTTCTCTTGTTCCTGGTTTGATTTTTGGGCAGTTCTCTTGTTCCTGGTTTGATTTTTGGGCAGTTCTCTTGTTCCTGGTTTGATTTTTGGGCAGTTCTCTTGGGTTTCAGGGTTTGATTTTTGGGCAGTTCTCTTGTTCCTGGTTTGATTTTTTGGGGAGTTTCCTGTTTTTCATGGTTTGATTTTTGGGGAGTTAAATTGTTCATGGTTTGATTTTTTTGGGCAGTTCTCTTGTTGCTGGTTTGATTTTTGGGGAGTTAATTTGTTCATGGTTTGATTTTTGGGAGTTCTCTTCTTCCTGGTTTGATTTTTGGGCAGATCTCTTCTTTTTCATGGTTTGATTTTTGGCTGTTCTCTTGTTCCTGGTTTGATTTTTGGGCAGTTCTCTTATTCGTGGTTTGATTTTTTGGGCAGTTATCCTGTTCATGGTTTGATTTTTTGGGGAGTTAATTTGTCCATGGTTTGATTTTTGGGCAGTTCTCTTGTCCATGGTTTGATTTTTGGGGAGTTAATTTGTTCCTGGTTTGATTTTTGGAAGTTCTCGTCTTCACGGTTTGATTTTTTGGGCAGTTCTCTTGTTCCTGGTTTGATTTTTGGGCAGTTCTCTTGTTCTTCACGTGATAAATGAGAAATACAAGAGATTTTGCAGATGTTTCTGCTTGGAAATGAGGAACAGAAGATGGAAAAAGGAAGAGGCTAAAAGGAAAGAGGTTTTAAAAGGCAAAAGCTCTGTCCTTGTGGTGTCCAACCTGGATGAATCCAGTGTGTGACTCTGACAGTGCTCAGGTGGCAAAGCCTGAGTGGCACCAGCAACCCCAAACCCAGCAGGTCCAGGAGGATTTGCTCCTGTTATTCCCATTTTTGACCTCCCACGTTCCTTTTCCCAAGGGTCACCTCCTGGATGAGTGATCTGGCTTGGTCTGCGTGTGGGGATTAGTGAGAAACTTGGGATTTCATCCTGGAATCCCAATGGTTTGGGTTGGAAGGACCTTAAAAGGTCATCCAGATGGGCAGGGACACCTTCCACTATCCCAGGTTGCTCCAGGATCCATCCCAGCCTTGGACACTTCCAGGGATCCAGGGACGGCCACAGCTTCTCTGGGAAATCCATTCCAGCCCCTCCCCACCCTCCCAGCCAGGAATTCCTTCCTGAAAATTCAAAGGGCTTGCATATCCCAAGGTGATTGCACATTCCAAGTCTGGAAGGCACAACTGCCGGCCTGAAAGATTCCCGGAGCGTTTTCCAGAGGATGGGAAGGCCCAGGCCAAGGATTCCCGCGCCCAACTCACCGGACTGGCTGAAGAGCACGGCGTGCTGGTAGATGTTGGGGGCCAGGAGCAGGAACCCAGGGAGTGGCAGGGCATGCTGGGGAGAGAACAGAGCCATGGTGACGGGAATCCACCCCAGGTGATGGGAATCCACCCCAATTCCCAGCCTGGAAAACCGCCCTCGCGCAGCCGGATGGGAGAGCGCGGCCCTCCTCCGGATCCGCGCCAAGCCGGGAGCCAAAGGGGCTCTTGGAGCAGCTCCAGCTGCCCAGCAGGACTCACATTGTAGAAGAGGGCCTCTTTGGAGTGCTTCCCAAACCTCTGGTACAGAGTCTCCTGGAAAATCCCCATCCTGGCGGACATGAGGAGGGCGAAGGTGAGGGCGGCGATGCCTGCAAGGGAAGCACAGCTCCAGCAGGGACACTCCCACAATTTGGCTTTCCCGGGATAAAAAAAGCCAAGCCAGAAAACTGGGAACAGCCCTGGGACACGAGAGTTTTATTCCCAAGGCTGGGATGCCAAGAGACACAAGGGTTTCATTCCAAACGTGCCAAGGGACCTCTTAAAAACAACAGGTTCGGCCCTAAATTGGTGGGATAGTTTTGGCCTCTCCTGACAAAACATCAATCCCAGATTTTCCCAAAGAGCCCCCAAAGGTATAAAACCGGACTCCAGGGGCAGATTTTAAAGCCTCCTCCCTGGAATTCTGTGCTGAAGGAACGCCTGAAGTAGCCCTGCAGAGGAATCGAAGCCGTCAAAAGCTGAGTCTTGCCAATATTCCAGGAATTATCCTGGCACTCACCCAGCAGCCACCACAGGAAAACCTGGACTCCATCCTCTTCGTTTAGGCTGGAGTCGGATGCCTGGAGGGAGACACAAGAGTCACCACCACGTCCCACCCGGACCTCGCTTCGCGTCTCGTGTTCCAAGCGAATCCCAAGGTCTCCCATTCCCCAGAGCTGCTTCCCTGGCACCATTTGCTTCCCACCCTGCACCAGAGCCCGGCAAAAAAAAGTCTCAGTGTCCCATCAAAAAGCAGCTTCTCTGAAAGAAACGCCCTGACTTGGGAAAAGGTGGGATTTTCCCACCACAAAAACAATTTAGTGTCACTTGAAAGGCTCCCAAAACCAGCCCTTCCACAGGTTCCTCTGGGCCCATCCCAGGGATGAGTGTGCAGGGAGGAACAAGAGCTTTGGGCAAGCCCAAAACCAGGCCTAAAACTCCCTTAGAAAGTTCCCAAACCAGCCCTTTCACAGGATCCTCTGGGCCCATCCCAGGGATGAGTGTGTAGGAAGGAACAAGGGCTCTGGCCAAGCCCCAATCAGGGGCTAAAACCCCAGTCAGGTGCTAAAACCAGGCCTAAAACCTGGCTTGTGGTCAATTCCTTAAGCAAAGCAGGCTAAAGGTGCTGTCAGAGCAGGGTAAAACTCCCTTAGAAAGCTCCCAAATCAGCCCTTCCACGGGTTCCTCTGGGTACATCCCAGGGATGAATGTGCAGGGAGGAACAAGGACTCTGGGCAAGTCTAAAACCAGGCCTAAAACCTGGTTTGTGGTCAATTCCTTAAGGAAAGCAGGCTAAAGGTGCTGTCAGAGCAGGCTAAAACTCCCTTAGAAAGCTCCCAAATCAGCTCTTCCACGGGTTCCTCTGGGCACATCCCACAGATGAGTGTGTAGGAAGGAACAAGGGCTTTGGCCAAGCCTAAAACCAAGTCTAAAACCTGGTTTGTGGTTAATAAATCAAGGAAAGCAGGCTAAAGGTGCTGTCAGAGCAGGGTAAAACTCCAGACTTGCCTCCCTTTTTTCCCTGTAATTCATTGAAAATTAACTCAGTCCCCTTTGCCCCAGCTCTATCCCAAATCCTGGATTAACACCCAGCCCTTCCCCAGATGTTCTCAGAGCTCTAAAAGCCCTTAAATGCCAGGGAATTTGGAGGTTTGACAGCCCAGTTTTTCATTCCCAACCTCCCAGAGCTGGATGAAGTGCAGCCAATTTTCCCTGGAGCAGCACTTTGGGCCACGTTCGTGCCATCCCTTGCCAGGATGAGGCCGAGGGTGCTGAGCCAGGGAAGCTCCAAGGGCTGGATTCCTGGATTTCCTCCCTCCCTCCCGTTCTCCAAACACAGGCTGGATAACCAAAGGTCTGGAAAAATCCCTGCCTGAAAGCCAACCATCTTTTTGGGATGAAAAGAGTGAAGATGGCCGAGTTTTGCTTAGGGTTCACCCGCTCCTGAGTAAGGGAAAAAAACCCAGCTTTTATCTGTTATCTCTGTGGCAAAACAAACCAAAAAAATAAACCAAAAAAAAAGGTTTATTCTGAGCAAAAAGCAGGCTAAAAAGGCATTCATAATTAATTTAAATCCCACATTTCTGCATGCATTCCTTCCCTCCAAAGCACAGGGAAATAAAACCAGGAATGGGGGAGCGGGTTTAGAGGGAGGAGACGTTTCGTGTCTCCCTCAGGCAAAGGGAATTATTTGGAAGGGGCTGGAATAACGAGGGTCAGAGCCAGGATTGGGGTTCCTTCCCGGTCCTTACCACTTGCTTTGCAGACATGAAAGTGCAGGTGAAGATCCCAAGGGATACCAGGGCTATGGAAGTGTATTTGGACACGCTGTACCTGCCCAGGGAAGAGAGAGGAGACACCTCAGCGACCCAGCTCAGCTCCTGCTCTCCAGCAAACCCTGGAAATCTGGGATAATCTGGGATAACGGGCTGTAGTGGGGTTCTGGGGCTGGGGTTTGGTAGCAGGGGGGGCTCCAGGGCTGGCTTCTCTTGGAAGCTGCTGGAAGCTTCCCCCTGTCCTGTGGAGCCAATTCCAGCTGCTCCAGGATGGGATTCCAAGGCCGAGCCCGTCAGGAGTGACGGAAATGCCTCTGAGATAACAGATTTAGCAACAGAAGGTTGTGGGGAAGAAGGAATTCCAGCCAGGGAAGAGCGGAGTGGGAATGTGGGACCAACAATGCAGAGCCCGAGGGTAAGGCAGGAGAAGGGGCAGGAGGAGCAAAGGGATGCAGGAAGGAGGCCCAAGATGGAGCAGGAAGGAGCAGGAAGGAGGCCCAGGATGGAGCAGGAAGGAGCAGGAAGGAGGCCCAGGATGGAGCAGGAAGGAGGCCCAGGATGGAGCAGGAAGGAGGCCCAGGATGGAGCAGGAAGGAGCAGGAAGGAGGCCCAGGATGGATCAGGGGGATGCAGGAAGGAGGCCCAGGATGGAGCAGGAAGGAGGCCCAGGATGGAGCAGGGGGATGCAGGAAGGAGGCCCAGGAGGGAGCAGGAAGGAGGCCCAGGATGGAGCATGAAGGAGGCCCAGGAAGGAGCAGGAAGGAGGCCCAGGATGGAGCAGGGGGATGCAGGAAGGAGGCCATGACCCCGTGGCAGGCTGAGGATAGAGCAGGTCCTGGCAGAGGGAAGCCCACACGGAGCAGGTTTTTCCCGGACAGGACTCGTGGCCCCTGTGGGGACCCACCCGGGGCAGCTCATCCGGGAGGGACTGACCCCATGGAGGAGGGACCACGGGACAGCAGGGGGGGAAGAGCTGCTGCCCCAGGGATGGGATCACCTGGAGAGCTCCATCCAGGACTGTCTCACCCTGGAGAGCTCCAGCCAGGACTGTCTCACCCTGGAGAGCTCCAGCCAGGACTGTTCCCATGGGATGGGCTCACCTGGAGAGCTCCAGACAGGATTGTCTCCCATGGGATGGGCTCACCTGGAGAGCTCCAGCCAGGACTGTTCCCATGGGATGGGCTCACCCTGGAGAGCTCCATTCAGGACTGTCTCCCATGGGATGGGCTCACCCTGGAGAGCTCCATTCAGGACTGTCTCCCATGGGATGGGCTCACCTGGAGAGCTCCAGCCAGGACTGTTCCCATGGGATGGGCTCACACTGGAGAGCTCCATCCAGGAGCAGGAGGTGGAAATACAGAGGGAAGAGCTATTCCAGCCTCTAGTCCAGGAACACCTCTGTATCCCGGTTTTCCCACCACTGAATAAGAATATTTAACAGGAAAAGGGAAGGCCTGAAGCCCCCATCAGGATTAAGTCAATGGCAGAACATTCCCTGAGGATTCAAGAGACAGGTTTGGGATTTACCAGAGCATTCCTTGATGATACGAGGGAAGTTTGGGATTTACCTTTTCTTCAGGATGATGATTCCCAGAGCCATGCTGGCTATGAGGGAACCCTGGGAAAGGAAGGGGGAAAACAAAACAAAGGGTCAGCAGGACAGAATTCCCCAGACTGGGATGCCCATCCCATGGAAATACTGAAAACCCAATCCAATGGTGCCACAACTCCAAGAGAAATCCAAGGTCAGGAAGAACGACAGGGTGGGAATGAGAGGAAACAGCTTCTCCTTATGCCAGGGGATGTTCAGATTGGATATTAGGGATAATTTCTTCAGGGAAAGGGTTGTCCAGCCCTGGCACAGCTGCCCAGGGTAGGGGTGGAGTCACCATCCCAAATCCAGACTCTCTGGAATGGGATGTTCAGGATACCACTGGGACAAATCCCAAATCCAGGCTCTTCCCAAATCCCTGCTCTCTGGAATGGGACGTCCAAGACACCACTAAGCTAAGTCCCAAATCCAGGCTTTCTGGAATGGGATGGTCAGGACATCACCGGGCCAAATCCCAAATCCAGGCTCTCCGGAATGGGACATCCAGGACACCACTGGGCCAAATCCCAAATCCAGGCTCTCTGGAACGGGATGTCCAAGACACCACTAGGCCTAATCCCAAATCCCAAATCCAGGCTCTCTGGAATGGGATGGGATGGTCAGGACACCACCAGGCCAAATTCCAAATCCCGGCTCTCTGGAACAGGATATTCCACCAAGAATCCCACAGCAGGACATGGTGTTTCCACGTGTGTGGTGCCAGGGAAAGCTGGGATCCCTCTGGCCACAATCCAGGGCTGAGAGCCAGAGTCTGGGATTGGTTTTGTCACCGTCACTTCCCCCCCACCTCTGGAATTTCCTCATCCATCCGCTAAGCTGGAATTCCCTGGAATTCAAGGCGAGAGGGAGAACCGGAGCCGGGCCTTCGGAGCCAGTTTGTTTTCCCCGCCAATCGGTTGGAATGCGGGATTTTTCCCGGGGTTTTGGTGGCCTGGGGGAAGGAAGGGCTGGCAGAACACGTAAAGCAGGGAGAGGCCACGGGAAGAAGAATTCCAGAGGAGGAAAAGCGGGAAAAGGGCGGCACTCACCGAGCGGAAGATCATGTGCAGGGGCATGGAGATGTTGAGGTTCAGGGCGTAGTTATTCACCACGCTGACGGTGAAGAACATGGCCACCATGATCAAATAGTACCTGGAACGGCAAAAATTCCCACCCTGGAATGCTGGGAGACACCTCAGGAACCATCCTGGGCTGCAGGGAAAGGCCTGGAGCAGAGCAGGAGCTCCCAGGGAATAACAAGGAGATGATCTGTTAAATTTCCAGGAAAACTCTCTTTAAAAAAAAAAAAGCTCTTTAGCCACAGCAAAGTCTTCCCTGTGGAAAATATTCCCCTGTGCCTCTGACAGGGAAGGATCTGAGGGCAGTTTCCTGTCAAGATATCCTGAGAATTCCTGTCAAGAATTCCATGAGTCCATGTTTTTATCAGGCCTCACAGGTTGTCAGGGTGGCTGGAGGATGGATGGGATTGAGGCAGGATAAGTGGATAAGCCATTTTATTAAGGGTTTTTGGAAATCAGGGATAGGCAGGGATAATCCCTGCCCAGCAAAAGTTTGGGATGCACTGTACCTGATTGGGATGGCCGGGCTCTTCCTCCCAAAATTGGCCTCGAAGATAAAACCTTCCATGGCGATGAACAGGAACTGGGAGAAGGTCACGATGTTCCCACATCCTGGAAACTCCCTGCGGGCATGGAAAAGGAAGAGGAGCGTGAAACAATGCCATGGAGAACACGGGGTTCCAGGAAAAGCAGGAGAACAGCTCCTTATCCCACAGGGAGAATCGGCCTGGAGAGGCTTTGTGGCTTTACCTGGCCAGGGTTTCCTGTTCCCTTTGGTTAAACACCTCCCTGGGGGGGTTTATCCCACAGAACTTGGGGATAATGTGTGGGGATAATGCCCCAAACATTCCCAAAGAGGGAGGGAGGGGTGAATCCCTCGGGAAGTGAAAGAGAAAACTGGGCTGTGTAACATCCCACCAGGACACAGGGCATGGATGAGCAGCACCCACTGAACTGGATCTCCCTCTTTCCCACAGGGAAGTGGCTCTGGAAGGACTCTCTCCCTGCCTACAAGGCCACGAAGAATATGAGTCCAGTCCTGGATTTCTGGTATTCCTTCTTCCCACTGCATTTGGGAAGTGTCAAGGCCAGGTCCATGTCCCTGTTCTGCCCGTGCCCCATCCCAAAACACCTTGGACCTGCTCTCCATTCCCTTGGGAAGCTTGAGCTCCCTGCTCTCCTCTGTTTTCTGCATGCCAAAAAAAAAGGGGTTGTAGGATCAAGGAGGAACCTAAACCAGCTCATCCCAGGAGCCCCAAAGGGTTGTGCCACCGACGCCCCTGGGATTGTGTTTATTCCGTGGGAAGAGGAAAGTTTGGAGCAGCCTGACCCCAAACCAACCCTCCCTGCACACGGCTGCGGACTCTGCCTCCTTCCTACGGAGCTTCCAGGGAGCAGGGAAGCATTCCCAGGGAATCAGGCAGGGCTCAGGGGAGGCTGTGACACTGTCAGGTAATCAGGGAGCTCGCGGGACACGGAAGGATTTGAGGAACTGCTTCCCCCTTTCCGTGACGCAAGACACGAACCGAGCCAAGGATTTCCCGGAGAAGCCGCAGGACTCGGAGCCCTGATCCCCACCCTGCCGCACCAGGACACAACTTCCTCATGGAACAAGCTGCCACACGTTAAGGCTCTGGCTCTGGACACGGTTTTGCAGGATTCAAGCACTGGAGAACAGGAATATCCAAGCTGTCTCCTCCAAATTTTCCTCCGGAAAACCTTGAAAAGGCACCTTCTCCCGGCATTTTTCCTGCCAATCCCCACATTCCTCAGGGCTTAACTGTCCAGGAGACTTCCAGGAGAGGTTGAGGACGAAGAGGCACCGGAGCCAGAGGCTCCAGGATTGCAAACAGGGAACACCAAGCAGGTGGAAACTTGGAATAACCCGAGTTTCTGGGTTCCATAACATCCATTTCCACGCATTAGACTTTGCTTCCTCCCAGTTCCCAGATCCCTGCACGTGACCTCCCTTTATCAGGGAAGTGTTGGCACACGGGGTTATGTGGGAAGTGATAAGAGAGAGATAAAAAAGCCCTTTATCTGCCCATTCTTTGCCTCACAACCCTCAGGCACAGAAAGAGGTGCCAAAAAACCCGGATTTGTCACCCCCAGATCTGCTTTAGCCGCAGCCAACTGATAAGATGCTCCCAACAAGGACTTTCCCTGCTCTCCCTCTGTTCCAAACCCACACTGAGAGGGAGAAAACCTGATTTTTTGGCGTGTTTTAAACCCCTTTCCCAGCAATTCAAGCCCCTGATTTCTTGTTGTGCCTCCCCAGCCCAGCAGAGAAACTTCTCTCCTTTTTTCTGCAGCCACTTCTCCCAGGTTTAAAGGCTTTTGTCTCTTCTCAGGCAGCTCCAGACTAAACAGTTCTCATTCCTTAACTCTTTCCTCGTAAATCCCAGGCCAAATTCTTCCAAACACCTCTGTTTTTCCACACCAGACTCCCAGTCTGGTCACTGCCTTCTCCTGTGATCCTGTTCCAGGGCTTTGCTTTTCATGGGAATGTTCATCTGCAGGAGGAACTTTTCCTTCCAGAGGCACCAAACCCCAAAGCAATAATCGGTGTTACCCCAACTGAGGGGCCCAGGGCAAGGAAAAGGGCACAGGAATTGAGCTGAGAGGAATTTCCAAAGTGGATGAGAGGAATTTCCAAAGTGGATGAGAGGAATTTCCAAAGTGGATGAGAGGTGACGCTTAAGAAAAACCTGAGTGTGAAAAGCAGCTTTTCCTTGATGTTTGCAACTGGACTCCTGGAATTTGCCAGGGTTTAGACACCTAATTCAGGGCCAAATGTTTGAAGGTCTGGCTGGAGCCAGATCCAAAGCTTTCTTCACTTCCAAAGGGTTCATTCTTCCTCTGTCACTGGTGCTGCAACACAAGCCGGGCAGGAAAAGGCTGGAGCCATCCCTGAAAGACAAACTCCAGGAATTGCTTCTTGGTTTATCTAGTGACTGTGCAACTTTGTGTGAAGGTACCCGTGGCCTGGGCTCCCCCCTGCTGGCTTTTGCACTCCCTTTTTCCCTTAAAAATCTGGGATACTGATGAAAGAAAGGGCTATTTTTGAAAGCCTGAAGGGAACAGAGCACTGAATGTTCAGGGGACGCAGCTCCAACTGCCTGTGACTTCAGAACCGGTTCAATCGTTACTTTTTTTCCAGTCAGGTCTAGGCCTTTCCACCTTCCCTTCACCATTCCCAAGCCCTGCCATCCCTCACATCAGGCTGGGGAAGGGGAAATTCCCAAAAAACCAGCCCCCGACCTGGCAGGTTCCCGTCCCCTCCCGGCGCCCCGGGGACGCGCTGCCCTCGGCGCGGTGGCTTCGCCGCTGCCAAAGATCACATTTCCAGCTGGAAAACATTCCCGGCTTGTCCCCAGGGACCTCCCAGGCAGCTCCTGCACGTCTCCTCCTTGGCATTCCAGCTGTGGCTTGGCCGGGATCGGGGATGGTGGGGAGGCTTTGGGGACAAGACCGTGAGACCCCCCGTGCCAGGGCAGGTCAATGACACGGCCCAAACCGAGGGGGACAACCCCAAAATCCCCCCACAACCCATCAGAGCAGGTGATGATCCACAACCGGGCTCTGCTGGCACATGGATGAGGAGCCCCAGGACTGGGAATGCCCCCCGAGCTGGGAGGGGGATGGTCCAAGACCCCTAAGGATCAGCCCCAGGTACCGCCCCCATCCCAAATCCCCCCGTAATGTCCTGGATCCGCCCTGGCACCGCTGTTGCTTCCTCCCCTGACAAACCCTGAGCCCGGTGCTGTCCCCATCCCAGGGACGCTCCTCCCGATCCCATTCCAGCCCCATATCCCCCCCACTCGTCCCCCAACCCCTCCCCGCGGCCCCGCACCTGGCCAGCAGCTCCAGGAACACCACGTTGCTGCAGCAGCCGCCGAACACCAGCCCCACCGCCAGGGCCGGGTGCATGGTGTCGCTCCGGGCAGCGAGGCCGCGTCCCGGGCCGCCCCCGCATCCCGATCCCGGGATCCTGCCCCGCTCCCGGCCCCGGCCCCGCCGCCCCCGCTTCCTCCGCCCGCCGGTAGTTCGCTCCCCGCCGGACGCCGGGACTACAGCTCCCGGCAGCCTTCGCGCCGCGCCACCGCTGCTCCCTGCGGGCGCCCCGCCGCGGGGCATGATGGGAGTTGTAGTTCTGATGGTGACGCAGTGATGGCGGCGCGGAGGTGGCGCCCGGAGGAGGCGGGAGAGGGGGGGAAGATTCTCTGTGAGAAAGAACTGCCGGGTATTGACTTTTTGGGGTTATTTGGTGCCAATTAAAAGCAGCTCCTGATGAGTCTGCGCCAAATAATTATTGGCTAATAATTATACGTCCAAATATTATGTTCAGAATAATGATTGTTATTGAAAGGCTGGGAAAGTTGGGGGGAGAAGAGAAGGCTCCAGGGAGAGCTGAGAGCCCCTTCCAGAGCCTAAAGGGGCTCCAGGAGAGCTGGAGAGGGATTTGGGACAAGGCAGGGAGGGACAGGACACAGGGAATGGCTTCCCAGTGCCAGAGGGCAGAGATAGGTGGGATATTGGGAAGGAATTGCTGGCTGGGAGGGTGGGGAGGGGCTGGAATGGATTTCCCAGAGCATCTGTGGCTGCCCCTGGATCCCTGGAAGTGTCCAAGGTCGGGTTGGAGCAACCTGGGATAGTGGGAGGTGTTGAGGTTGGAAGTGGATGATCTTTAAGGCCCCTTCCAACCCAAACCACTCCACGATCCCACGATCCCAGTCCAGGGTGAAAATCCCATTGTGGAGTTGCGTGGAGCTGCCCTGTCAAACCCTCCGCGATCAACAGAATCCAAAAAGAGGGATTTTCATCCTACGGACACTTCATTTCCAATCAGATTCCCGTGCGGATCAGGCCCTCAAATCTTCCTTTAATCTTCAAACACCACAAGTGCCGAATCCCAGGAGCAAATCCCAGTCCAAGAGCGAAGTGGGATTTTTATGATTCCCGGTTCCTCGGGATCGGGAGAGCCTTGGCAGCTCCAGCCAGGCTGAGGCTGCCACGATTCCCTGGTTTTTTTCCTCCCTGGGAGAATTTTTGGCCTCGGACTCCCAGCTGGAGATCCCAGGGTTTAATACTTCTTCCCTAGGGGGCTGGATATGGAAGTTGGTTGGAGCTTGTGTCCTCAGGGATAACCCGAAACCTGGAAACTATAGGAACGTCGCCCAAGAATCCTTGGATATCTTTGCCTGCAGACAGAACCCCTGGGGTTTCTGGATAAAATCATTCCAAACCCAAGGATCTGTGGCCTCATGTGGGATATTTCCAGGCATTTTGGCTTGGATTGTCTGCCAGAAAACAACGCTTTGGGGTTCAAGCATCTGGGAGACCCTCTGGAAACTCCAGTGTTTTTTGCTGACCTCTTGTTTCTGTTTGCCTGAACTTCACTTTTCCCCCATCTCACAAAATATTTCGGTGTTTTCTGACCTCCCTTATGTTTTTATTTTTTAGGTTTTTTTTTTTTTTGTTTATTTTTTTTGTTTTATTTTTTGGGTTTTTTCTTGTTTTTATTTTTCTTTTTGTTTTATTTTTTGTTTTTCTTTTTATGTTTTTATTTCTTTTTATTTTTCATTTGTGTTTTATTTTGTTTTTTTTTGTTTTATTTTTGTTTTTTTTTATTTTCTTTTTTATTTTATTTTTTATTTTATGTTTTATTTTTACTTTTTCTTTTTATTTTTTGTTTCTTTTGTCTTTTTTTTTGTTTATTTTTATTTTATTTTTTATTTTATTTTTTATTTTTTATGTTTTTATTTTTACTTTTTTATTTTTATTTTTTGTTTTATTTTTGTCTTATTTTTTGTTTTATTTTTGTTTTATTTTTTTGTTTTATTTCATGTTTTTGTTTTATTTTTTTGTCTTATTTTTTGTTTTATTTTTTATGGGTTTTTTTCGTTTTATTTTTTCATTTTATTTTTTTGGTTTTTTTTTTTCGTTTTATTTTTTCGTTTTATTTCCAGGCATTTTGGCTTGGATTTTCAGCCAGAAAACAACGCTTTGGGGTTCAAGCATCTGGGAGACCCTCTGGAAACTCCAGCGTTTTTTGCCGACCTCTTGTTTCCGTTTACCTGAACTTCACTTTTCCCCCATCTCACAAAATGTAATTATAGTAATATCGCTTAATAATATACAAATAATTAATAATACTTAAATGTGACTCGATAATGAAATATTAACTTAAACCATAAATTAAATTAAATAAGAAATGAAATTAAATAAGCTCCAGGACGGGAGTTTTTCCTTCTTTTTGTTTTGGTTTTTTTCCCAACAATAATAAAAGATATTATTTCTACCCAGATATTACTTCTCCTTACAAACCATCCCCCCGATTGCCCCGCTCCGGACCGGGGAACGGCTTCCAAGGCAGATCCAACGGGAATTCAGCCCCTTAACGAGGCAATTAGGAGTTGGACGGGGCTCAATTAAACTCAGCTGTTAAACCCGAGTTTAGGGAGCGCTCCTGGGAAATCCCGGGATCAGCAGGAAATCCCACCGGATTAAAACCTGGGAGTAATCCCAGAGAGCTTTGGGTGACTCGGCCAGAAATGATGGGGAAAAAATCGTGGATCTCCGTGGCCACGAAGCGGGGAATTCCTGGGATGTTTCCAAGTGTTTTCCCTGCGGGCTCCAGCTGAGGGGTGGGAAGAGCCGCGCCGGCGCCTTTCCCGAATTTTAAGCCTCGAACACCTGGAAGCAGGGCTGGGGAAGGATTTTGGGGTCTTTTAGCAGCTCTTGGAGGCTTCTTTTAGTTCTTCATGGGGCTGGAATGGTGCTTTTTGGCTTCCCCTGGAATTCCTGCGGCTGCACAGGGCTGGGATTCCCTCCCCGTTTCCATCTGGAGCCAGGATGTTCCCGTTCTTCCCGGGGGCTCCTGGTTTTCCCTCTTGCCCTGGATTTGACCTTTTTGTCCCGGTTGTGTCCCGGCCAGAGGATCCTCAGCCCCAGGGATGGGCAAGGACCTCCCGTGGGGTCTGGAATTCCCAGGACAGGAAGGAAGGAAAGAACTCCAGGGGATCCCTGACTTCGAGCAGGAAAAACTGTTTGTTTTTTAGGGATATGGGGCCACTGAATCTTCCTTATTTTTTTTTTTCTGAGCTGAAATCTCCTTCATTTGTGTGCTGGGAGTTGTAGGAATGGCTGGAGGAGGGGGGTTCATCCTGCTGCTGGAATGTGCCCTGGGATGCAGTTCCGGCTTGGAGGGGTTTGGAGCTGTGGATCCCGGTATTCCCGGGAGGGTGAGGAGGGAGAACACCTGGAAACAGGGCTGGGGAAGGATTTGGGGGTCTTTTAGCAGCTCTTGGAGGCTTCTTTTAGTTCTTAATGGGGCTGGGATGGTGCTTTTTGGCTTCCCCTGGAATTCCCAGGAGAGCGGGCAGGGAAGGGATTCCCAGGAGAGAGGGAAGGGAAGGGAAGGGAAGGGGGAAATCCTGTAGGAAAATGGTCCCAAGGGGGTGTGGATACCCACCATTCCAAGGGGATGGTTGGAATGATGGTCTTGGAGGGGTTTTCCTGCCTTAATGGTTCTGGGATTCTGCGTCGAACCAGAGTTTAGGAATTTAGGAAATCCCAGTTTTCCTTTCCTGGTCAAGTGGCCAAAACTTCTCTTTAGGGAAAGGGATCTTCCAGGAAATGGGAAATCCTGTAGGGAAGTGGCCAATCCTCGAGGAAAATGGCCCCAAGGGGGTGTGGATACCCACCATTCCAAGGGAATGGTTGGAATGATGATCTCGGAGGGTGTTTCCTGCCCTAATGGTTCTGGGATTCTGGGTTGAGCCGGAGTTTAAAACCAGAACTCCTTGGCCTGCATCATTTTTGGCACCTCCACGTGCCAACCGCAGCCCTGATCCTTTGGGAATTCCTTTGGAGCTGCACCAACACCTCCCGATTGCGGATTCAATGGGAATTCAGCCCATTCAGCCCCTTAACGAGGCATTCAGGAGTTGGATGAGGCTCAATTAGACTCGGCTGTTAAACCTGAGCTTAGGGATGTTTCCCATCCCCTCCACCTGCTGACACCTGGAATCTTTATCCCCCCTGGAAATATTTTTTCTCCCCCTCTTCCCTCCCTCCCTCCCTCCTTCCCCCGAGCCGGCCCCTTCCTTCCCAAACATCCCAATTATTTTATCATCAGTTTGTGCCCACGAGGGAAAAAATCTTCAGGTGTTTTCTTTTCCCTCCTCCCTTCCTCTCCCCCCTCTTCCTTCCCACATTCCTAAAGCCCCATTCCCTCCTCTCTCCCAGCTGGAGAAGGGCTTGGAGGGGGAATATTCCCGGGGAGCGGCCCCTCCTCCTGCTTCCCGGCGGAGTTTCCCTGGAGGTCGCTGGACGCTCATTCCCGGTTTTTGGGATAGGAGGGAGGCTCCGACAAGAGGCGGCTCTTCCCAGGTAAGATTCCCGACTTCCCACATCCCGCTTATCCCTCTGTCTTGTCCGTCCAGGGATCGGCTTTTCCCGGTTTTTTTTTTCCCCCCTCTTCCCATTCTCGGGTTGGATTTAAGGGAAGTGTGGAGTGAAAGGAAAAAGGGATGAGGAGGGAGCAGCCCCCGGGATGCAAATGGGATTCCCATTCCCTGGGGGCTGTCTCAGAAGTGCCTGAAATGTCCCAAAAACTCCTTAAAATGGGAATTTTTTGGGGGGGAATTCGCTCTTCCCGGGATGGGAGGTAGCTCAGGGAGAGGTGGTGAAGGAGTGTTTTCTGGGATCATGGAATATCCCGAGTTTGGTGGTGCTGGGGAATGGTTGGAATGATGAGCTCGGAGGGGTTTTCCTGCTTTAAGGATTCTGGGATTCTGGGATGAGCCAGAGTTTAGGAATTTTGGAGATCCCGCTTTTCCTTTTCTGGTCGTGTGGCCAAAATATCACTGCAGGAAAAGGGATCTTCCAGGAAATGGGAAATGCTGGAGAAAAATGAGGAATCTTGGAGGGAGATGGGAATGTGCTGGAGGGAGATGGGAATGTGCTGGAGGGAGATGGGAATGTGCTGGGGGGAAATGGGAAATGCTGGAGAAAAATGGGAATGTGCTGGGGGGAGATGGGAATGTGCTGGGGGGAAATGGGAATGTGCTGGGGGGAAATGGGGATGTGCTGGGGGGAAATGGGAATGTGCTGGGGGGAAATGGGAATGTGCTGGGGGGAAATGGGAATGTGCTGGGGGGAAATGGGAATGTGCTGGGGGGAAATGGGAATGTGCTGGAGGGAAATGGGAATGTGCTGGGGGGAGATGGGAATGTGCTGGGGGGAGATGGGAATGTCCTGGAGGGAAATGGGAATGTCCTGGAGGGAAATGGGAATGTCCTGGAGGGAAATGGGAATGTCCTGGAGGGAAATGGGAAGTGCTGGAGAAAAATGGGAATGTGCTGGAGGCGGGACCTGGGAAATGTCCTGAGGCAAAGGGAAGGCTGGAGAAAAATGCGAATGTGCTGGAGGGAGGGACATGGGCATGTGATGGAGGGAAATGGGCCTGCGAGGCAAATGGGAATGTCCTCGAGGGAAATGGGAAATGCTGGAGGAAAATGGGAATGTGTTGGAGGCAAATGGGAAGTGCTGGAGAAAAATGGGAATGTCCTGGAGGGAAATGGGAAATGCTGGAGAAAAATGGGAATGTCCTGGAGGGAAATGGGAAGTGCTGGAGAAAAATGGGAATGTCCTGGAGGGAAATGGGAAGTGCTGGAGAAAAATGGGAATGTCCTGGAGGGAAATGGGAAGTGCTGGAGAAAAATGGGAATGTGCTGGAGGGAAATGGGAAATGCTGGAGAAAAATGGGAATGTCCTGGAGGGAAATGGGAAATGCTGGAGAAAAATGGGATTGTCCTGGAGGGAAATGGGAAATGCTGGAGAAAAATGGGAATGTGCTGGAGGGAAATGGGGAAATCCCGGAGGAAAATGGG